CACCCCTGCTCACCCTTTTGAGTTCCTGGTTCTCTTACATTCCACCTGTATAATTAGTTGCCTCCAAAGCAACATGCCAATAAATTACCTTCTCCCTAAAATGATTTCCTAGGCCATTTCATACCATAACCATCCACCTAGTTGCTTAAGCTAAAAACCTAGCAGGAGTTATCTCAAATACTTCCCACAAACACTTATCTACTCTTCTGAAATCCAAAAGCTCTGAAAATGAAAACTTATTTTTGTAAGGTGACACAAAAACTCACTTGGCATCAAAATTTGACATGAAATGACATGAGGCTGTTTGTGGTGTTGAGAAAGTATTCTTGGTGAGAGTATTCTTACATTTTGAGACAGAAATATTTTGTTTGATTATAGGGTGCTGACCTATAGCCCACTGGGGAGTGTTAATATTCATATAGGCACTATATCCTCCAAATTCTAAAATCCTCTAATGCTCAAGCCTTACATAAAATGGCTTATTATTTGCTTATAACCTACACACATACTCCAAGTATACAGGCATACCTTCTGTTATTGCACTTTGCTTTATTGCGCTTTGCAGATGTTGCATTTTTTAGAAATTGAAGGTTTGTGGTAACCCCACATTCAGCAAGTTTATTGGTGCCATTTTTCCAACATTGTGTGCTCACTTCCTGTCTGTGTGTGTCACATTTTGGCAATTCTTGCAATATTTCAACCTTTTTCAGTATTACCATACCTGTTATATCTGCCATGATGATCTGTGACCAGTGATCTTTGGTGTTACTATTGTAATTGTTTTATGGTGCCACAAACCACCCCCATATAAGACGGCCAGCCCAATGGATAAACGTGTGTGCTCTGCTCCACCAACCAGTCGTTCCACTGTCTCTTTCTCTTTTCCTTAATCCTCCCTATTCCCTGAGACACAGCAATATTGAAATTAGAACAATTAATAACTCTACAATGGCCTATAAGTGCTCAAGTGAAAGGAAGAATCGTATGTCTCTCACTTTAAATCAAAAGCTAGAAATGGTTAAGCTTAGCAAGGAAGGCATGTCAAAAGCTGAGACAGGCTGAAAGCTAGGGCTCTGCTGCCAAACAGTTAAGTTGTGAAAGCAAAGGAAAAGTTCTTGAAGTTCTTGAAGGAAATTAAAATTACTACTCCAACGAACACGTAAATGATAAGGAAGCCAAACAGCCTTATTGCTGATAGGGATAGAGTTTTAGTGGTCTGCATAGAAGATCAAGCCAACCATGACATTTCCTTAAACTAAAGCCTGATCCAGAGAAAGGCCCTAAATTTCTTCAATTCTGTGAAGGTTGGGAGAGGTGAGGAAGCTGCAGAAGAAAAGTTTGAAGCGAGCAGAAGTTGGCTGATGATGTTTAAGGAAAGAAGCCACATGCATAACATAAAAAAAGTTCACGGAGAAGCAGCAAGTGCTAATGCAGAAGCTGCAGCAAGTTATCCAGAAGATCTAGCTAAGATCACTGATGAAGGTGGCTACACCAAACAACAGATTTTCAATGTAGACAAAACAGAAGAAGATGCCATCTAGGATGTTCATAGCTAGAGAGAAGTCAATGCCTGGCTTCAAAGCTTCAAAAGACAAGCTGACTCTCTAGTTAAGGACTAATGCAGCTGGTGACTTTAAGTTGAAGCCAGTGCTCATTTAGCATTCTGAACACCTTAGGGCCCTTAAGAAATATGTGAAATCTACTCTGTCTGTGCTCTATAAATGGAACAATAAAGCCTTTATGACAGCACATCTGTTTATGGCATGGTTTACTGAATATTGTAAGCCCACTGTTAAGATCTGCTGCTTAGAAATAAAAAGATTCCTTTCAAAATATTACTACTCATTGACAATGCATCTGATCACCCAAGAGCTCTGATGAAGATGTACCGGGAGATGAATGTTGTTTTCATTCATGCCTGCTAACACAACACGCATTCTGTATCTCATGGATCGTGGAATAATTTTAACTCTTAAGTCTTATTATTTAAGAAATACATTTTTTAAGACTGTAGTAGCCATAAATAGTGATTCTGCTGACTTGGATCTGGGTAAATTGAAAACTTCTGGAAAGTATTCACCAGTCTAGATGCCATTAAGGACATTGGTAATTCATGAAAGGAGGTCAAAATATCAACATTAACAGGAGTTTGGAAAAAGTTGATTCCAGCCGTCATGTATGACTTTGAGGAATTCAAGACTTCAGTGGAGGAAGGAACTGCAGAGGTGGTAGAAATAGCAAGAGAAATAGAAGTGGAACCTGAAGATGTGACTGAATTACTGTAATCTCATGATCAAAATTGAGCAGATGAGGAGTTATTTCTTTTTTTTTTTTTTTTTGAGACAGAGTCTCACTTTGTTGCCCAGGCTAGAGTGAGTGCCGTGGCGTCAGCCTGGCTCACAGCAACCTCAAAATCCTGAGCTCAAGCAATCCTCCTGCCTCAGCCTCCCAAGTAGCTGGGACTACAGGCATGCACCACCATCCTCGGCTAATTTTTTCTATATATATATTAGTTGGCCAATCAATTTCTTTCTATTTATAGTAGAGACGGGGTCTCGCTCTTGCTCAGGCTGGTTTCGAACTCCTGAGCTCAAAGGATCCACCCGCCTCAGCCTCCCAGAGTGCTAGGATTACAGGCCTGAGCCACCGCGCCCGGCTGATGAGCAAAAGACAGTGGATTCTTGAGATGGAATCTACTCCTTGCAAAGATGATGTGAACATTGTTGAAATGGCAAGAATTTAGAATATGACATATATTGATAAAGCGACTGCAAGGTTTGAGAGAACTGACTTCAATTTTGAAAGAATTTCTGTGGGTAAAATACTATCAAACAGCATTGCAGGCTACAGAGAAGTCTTTTGTGAATAGAAGAGTCAATTGATGCAACAAACTTCATCGTTCTCTTACTTTAAGAAATTGCCATACCCTCTCCAACCTTTAGCAACCACCACCCTGATCAGTCAGAAGCCGTCAACATCGTGGCAAGACCATCTACCACCAAAAAGATTACAAATTGCTGAAGGTTCAGATGATCATTAGCATTTTTTTTAGTAATAAAGCATTTTTTATTTAAAGTACACACATTGTTTTTTAGACATATGCTGTTGCACACTTAATTGAGTATGGTATATTGTAAACATAACTTTTATTTGCATTGGGAAAACAAAACATTCATGTGACTGTCTTTTTGCTGTAGTCTGAAACCAAACCCACAGTATCTCCAAGGTAGGTCTGTACTTTAAATCTCTAGATTAATTATAATATCTAATAGAATGTAAATGCTATGTAAATAGTTGTTATATTGATACTATGTTTTTTATTTCTTATTTTTATTGTTGTATTATTATTTTTTTTAAAAAAATATTTTCAATCCATGGTTGGTTGAATCTGTGGATGTGTAGGGCCCACTGTATATCTATGAACTTATTTAATATTCCCAACCACCCTATGAAATACCTATGAAGTAGGTACTATTTTTTACTATTCTTATTTTACAGATGAGGAAACTAAGTCACAGAGAAAGTAACTTGCTCAAGGTCACACAGCTGATAAATGGTTAAATCTAAGAGACTGAAGGAAATCTGAAAAGCAACTAATTTCTCAGTATGTGATTCAATGTTACTATATGACCTAGTCTCACATTATCCAAAATAGTTCCTCCTGTCATTAATAGTATAGGACAAACGTTTGGGGGATGGACACGCTTGAAGCTCTTACTCAAGGGGGGAGGGGGCATGGGCAATATATGTAACCTTAACACTTGTACCCCCATAATACGCTAAAATAAAAAAAATAGTATAGGACCCCACATTTCAGGAAATTCTGGCCTACTACGGGATAATCTAATTTTTTAGAATTTTTATAATTGAACTCTTATCTTTTTAGCCACATTTCCTGCCTTAGTAACCTGTCAATCTCCTGCACCCAGTCTTGCCAATGCCTCCTAAACCCAAACCTGTGGGTCACAAGGAGACAGGGTCTTTTGTCATTTGAGCAGACATAAAGACTGTACTAACCCGGGCTCACTCCGCGCTGTGATCTGTAACGCGGTCAGCTTCGATATGCACTGTGTGTGGCTCAGGTGCCTGCAGCCTGGTGATCGGGCGCAGGCAATGGCCCAGGTCTGGAACCGCGCTCCAATTTGTCTTGCAGCGTGTTCTGGATGCCCAGTTACTCTCCCGGAGCTGCTCTCACTGCTTTTTAGAGAGGAGTCCACTCCTTCAGCCTTAACCTTGGCTTAATTTAAACTTTCCCGAAAACTTAACAGTGGCTGACTGGTGGCTCCGCCTCCCGGGCCACGAGGGCACAGAGCACCTGCGGCGCCGGTTCGGGAGGGCGGGGGCGGGCCCAGGCTCCGGAGCGGACGCGGGGCCGGGCCGGCCCAGGCTCTGGGGGCGGGCTGGGGACGTGGACTAGACCTGGAGAGGCCTGGGCGGCCCGGCGCGCTCGGGGGAAGGGCGGGGAGGGCGCTGGAGGACGGGCCTAGGAACCTGGGCGGGCCTCGGCGCCTGGAGCCGGTCAGGAAGGGCGGAATGAACCTGCAGAGGGCGGGGCGGCTCGGTGCCGTTGGGGGAAGGTTGGAACGGTCCCGGGGGGACGGGTGCAGGCGACAGGCTCAGGAGGCGGGGCGGGCCCAGGGGGCGGGACGGACCTGCGGAGGCGGGGCGGCCCCGGCGCGGTGGCGGGGAGGTCGGGGCGGGCCCAGGCCGGGGCTGGGCGGGCGCGCGGCAGGCGGGCCGCAGGCCCCGGTGCACCACCATGGTGGGACGTCGCCCGCGGCTGCGGGGACCGCTGCTGCAGCAGAGGCGGCCAGGCGGGACCGGGGGCTGAGGCCAGGGCCTGCGGGTAGTGAGTCTCTGAACCCTGCGGGCTGCGAGCGCGGTGCCCCCCTCGCCTAGCCCGGGCGCAGACGGCCGCCCCGCCGGACGATGCGCGCCCCCGGCCGCCCCGGAGGCTGAGCCCGCAGCTCCGCACTGCGCCCTCGCCCTCCGCCGCCCGGATGGCTTTGCCCGGCGCCGAGGGCGCGGCCGACGCGCCAGTGTCCGCGGCCGGGCGGCCCCCGGCGGCTCCGCGTCCTCGTCGTCCACCTCCTCCGGCGGCTCGGCCTCGGCCGCGGCGGGCGCGGGGCTGTGGGCCGCGCTCTACGACTACGAGGCGCGCGGCGAGGACGAGCTGAGCCTGCGGCGCGGCCAGCTGGTGGAGGTGCTGTCGCAGGACGCCGCCGTGTCGGGCGACGAGGGCTGGTGGGCCGGCCAGGTGCAGCGGCGCCTCGGCATCTTCCCCGCCAACTACGTGGCTCCCTGCCGCCCGGCTGCCCGCCCCGCGCCGCCGCCGCGCCGCCCGTCCGCGCCGGCCCCGGCTCGCCGGTGCACGTCGACTTCGAGCTGCTGGAGCTCAAGGAGCTCATCGGCGCCGGCGGCTTCGGACAGGTGTACCGCGCCACCTGGCAGGGCCAGGAGGTGGCGGTGAAGGCGGCGCGCCGGGACCCCGAGCAGGACGCGGCGGCGGCGGCCGAGAGCGTGCGGCGGGAGGCGAGGCTCTTCGCCATGCTGCGGCACCCCAACATCATCGAGCTGCGCGGCGTGTGCCTGCGGCAGCCGCACCTCTGCCTGGTGCTGGAGTTCGCCCGCGGCGGAGCGCTCAACCGCGCGCTGGCCGCCGCCAACGCCGCCCCCGACCCGCGCGCAACCGGCCCGCGCCGCGCGCGCCGCATCCCCCCGCACGTGCTGGTCAACTGGGCAGTGCAGATCGCGCGGGGCATGCTCTACCTGCACGAGGAGGCCTTCGTGCCCATCCTGCACCGGGACCTCAAGTCCAGCAACAGTAAGTGGGGCAGGTGTGGAGGCAGACCTCCTCCGTGGCAGAAAGTGGCGGGTCAGCCTTGGGGCACCGGCAGCACCTCGTGCCTAGGCCTTCCAGGGTGAGAGGTCCAGCTAATCCTTAGTGACTTGCTTGGGGCAGGTGACAGGCTTACCTTGACTTGTTGCCTTTGGGTGCTCTTTTTAAAAACGTGGAAGGGCCAGACTTACTTGTAGATTAAACATTTGCAAAACATCTGGATCTGCTGGAAGTCTCAGGGGCGGTTTGACGTCTCGGTGTCGTGGGTGGTTCATTTGAGTAGGATTTTGCAAACCTAGGCCTTCTGCAGATTATGAGGAGCCCATGGTGGTCCTCTACCTCGGGGGCCTTCATCAAACTTCCCGCCTGCACTTGGGAACTTCAACTTTGTAAGTGAGGTATTGAGCGTGCTATGCACTCGCTTTAAATATGACTTCGTGCCCCTTGACTTTTCCCAAATCATTCAGATGTCTCTGTACGTGAAATACGATTTTATTATTGGTTTAATGGCTTCTTTTCTCCAGACAAGAAGCACCAGTGTGTGCTGTTACGCGCTTTTGGTTTAAGAACAAGTGCGTTGTCCTTGCACCAGTGCTTGAAATCCTGAAGACCTGGCCTATGTCGTTTAACTTTGTTTATAAGTCAGGATGGATTTACCAGATTTCAATAAATGACCTAAATACAAGTCCCATTAAATTTCACTGGATAAAAGAGCTAGTAGAATTGCTGTTTGAAGTTGGTTCCTTAACACTGAAGTTCGCTTCATATTCTTAGAATGAGATGAAATCTCATGAAAGATTAAAGGATGCATCCAGAACTGGCATTGGCCTACTTCAGCTGGGTGTCTTTCAACCTTGTAAAACCTGCTAGAACAGGAGCTAACTCAAATGGAAACATTGTCCTTCCCTGAGTGTAGAAAGAAGAGTGACAAGAAGAAATGATATATTTGTTGTATGTTTTTGTGGGCTTTTTTCCTATTCAGAATCCTTCAGTACTGAAATTTACTTGAAAATGATCAATGTTTCATTTTAATTATGGGAATTTTAAATAATTGGAGTGTTGTAGCTGTTCATAAAATAAGCATTGAATGCTTCTAGGTTTTATTTTATGATCCCCATACCGCCACCCCTAAGTGTCTCATAATTTAGATTGCAACTGCTTAAGTGAAAGGGGCAAAGTCCAACAGAATAGTTTATAAGTGGTAGTGCTGCTGGTACGTTCTTAGCACTCTGGCAGGCCTCATGAAGGACTCTAGAAGTTCTCGCTTTTGTGCTACAATTTTCAGTGCCCTTATGTTTGCAAATGCTTCAAACCTGATACAGTCTTCACTGCCAATTTGTGCACGTTTCTTAAAATATGCTCTTATTGAAAGAAATGTCTAGCCTACTGCCATAGAACAACTGACTTGTCCACGTGTCCTGTAAGCTCTCCCCAGTGGTGTCCTGAAAGCCTGTGTCTACTGGGAGTTTTCTGCAGAACCAGGTATTTTAAGGACAACAGCATCATTCCTCCCCACTACCTCTTGGCAGTTGCAGCATCTTTGTGATAACATAGAACCTGGGTTCTACAAACTTATTCTGTTGCAGGAAATCAAATCATCGACATAGGCAGACACTTGAGTTGTACTAGTCCTTAGGCTAAAATGTTAAAGGGCCTATAGCTCTTAACTTTTGCATTGTACTCAGTTTTGTTTAGTTGCAGTAATTCTAGTGGCTCTCACAGCAAGCACTAGGTATAGAGAATGTTTGCCAGTGTTTATAAAGGATAGGAGGAGATGTGAATCTATGCTCCAATTGCTGCAAACAGTAAACTTTTCAGTATAAAATATAAACTTTTAAAGGACTCCTAATACTATTAAATAGTAAAAAGAAATAATGTAACCTTGGAATAATAATTCTTGTTACAGTTTTCATTGACACCAGAAAAACTTGCACAGTGGAGTATAGACTACTGTATAAACAGTAGATATTATATAATTTGAAGGTGATTATATGCTGCTACTTAGTTTTCAAAGACTTTTCACCTTCACAATAAATTGCCAAACTTCCTGGAGTATTTTAATTTCTATAATTGTCAGGCAGGTTTCCTTTTGCTTTAAATTGCTGTACTCTTAAAAAGACTTAATTAGCTAGTCATTAGCCTAGCAAAATATTTGTTAAAATATGGTGATTATTATAGTTAATTAATTCCTATAAAATGAAAATTTTGACTAGAGCCTAAAATGTACAAACATAGTGCCTAGCACATGGCCTTATCCTGGCTACCTGATTTTATTTGTTCAGTGAATAAATGCAGATGCTTTGGAATTCTTTTATGATATATGAAGCTATAACTTCTTGTTCAGATTTTTGAGAATAGCAGATACTCTATTATAGTATGTTTTGTTTGACTTTATTGGTTATTTGCTAATGATGGTAGTGAGTTAATGATAATGTAAACATAGTTTTAAAAATCAATATTGAATTTTATTTTCACCCTGTAGTCTACTCATGTAACAAAGAGCCAGTAGAAGACTACGTGGAACCAAGTCAGTGGAAATTGTTTAAAACAAATGTTTAAGTTTGTCTGAATAATATATTACTTCTGAAACATTTTCTTTCATCTTTTCTGATGGGTCATCTTAAGTTTTATCATATCTTGTGAGAGAATGTCTATGTCAAAATAATAGCTGATATACTGGGATGATATAAATAACTTTGTCCCTTTTCTAACAGATAGCAACAGGTTGAAAGTAGAGCCCAATTAGCAATTTTTAAGCATCATTCATTTTGTAAATAAAATGCTAGCTTTTACTTTATGGATGCAAAATAAGTAGAAAACACTTTGCTTAAGTATAATGCAACAGTACAACTTTGGGTTACTGTGAAAATTGCCAGTTTTATATGCATTCAGAGAAGAGAGAAAAATTGCCCAGAGCTGGAACTCATTTATCCAATACGTGTTGAGTGTCCACCCTGTGCCAGTCACTTCTGGGCTTCAGAAACATGGTGGCAAACCAGAAGACAGTGACAACCTCCCTGCCATCCTAGAGTTTAGTCTAACAGGAAAGAAAGAGAGATGGCAATCATGCAATAGCAAAGGTATTAGTAAGTGCAGTGGAGTAAATAAAGCACGGTGAGGGGTAGAGAGTGAGAGAGTGGAGGATGGGGGTGCTAGTTCAGACATGGGTGGTTCAGGAAGCAGCTCTGAGGGAGGAATAGGAATGAGTCGAGCAAAGATCTAGGCAAAGGAAAGATGAAATAGAAATGCACCTAAGCTTATTGGAGGAGAGGGGAGAGGGCCAGTGAGGCCGGAGCGGGGTGGGGAGTGGGGGGTGAGGGGGTGTTGGGGGATGTTGTGGGGGGGAGGGAGGGTTTGGCATACGTGGGCCTCAGTCCATGGGTCCATGTCGGGGTTCTCCTCTGAGTGTCGTCCCTCAGGGAGCCTTGGAGCATTTTGTGCAGAGGGGAGGCAGGATCTGATTTCTGTTTTTAAAGGATGACTCTGGCTTCCATGGAGAAGGGACTACAGTGATCATGAGTGAGTGCTGTTGGGGTTGTCCATGCAAGGTTGTCCATGGGAGAGAAGGTACTGGCTCCAGCCAGGGTGGTAACAATGGAAGAGGTTTGCAAGCAGTTTCCCATGGGGAAGTAAAGGTAAAATACTATAGTATAGGAATTGCTGAGGAAGGTTTGAATTGTTAGTTTAGTCTAAGGGTTTTATTTACCTGGACATAGTTCAGGATTGAAAGAAGATTGTGTAGCATCATTTATGGCTCTTGTTTTCTTTTTGTAATATTGCTTACTGTGTTCCACCTTTTCTGTTTCTGAAGAGGAAATAAACCTTCCATGGGAAACTGAGCCACAAATTATGGTAGCTGCTTACCTTTATACTTTTTATGTCAGTGATTAAGCATCTTTTATCCTAATTATTTTAGCCTTTTGGGAATAATTGTTATCTACATTACTTTTACAACTACAATTATATCTACAGTCTATAAATAGACACAGTTATGTTTATTATGAGATGCAATTTAGAGTTCTAAGACAAACTGCAAAAGAAATCTAAATTTTTTTAGCTCATCTCATTAGTACATGTAAATAAAGGAACTATTTGAGAAAATTATAGCAAATGTAATCTCCAAATAAGATGTTTAAATAGCTCATCAGAGTGATTTTGGGGAGCTATTAATTATGCTATTATCAGTTAAAAGACATAAGTCCCCTTCTCTCTTTTGTTCTTTTACTCAAGACTTGTAACTTCATGCTACAGCTGCTTCCTATTCCAGGGGGGCACAGAGAGATCGGTCCAGATATCCCAACGGTAATTGAGAACTAAATCTGCTTTTGAAACAAGGTTATCTAGAGGTTATGTTTTCATTAATATAAGAGTAGCAATCGCAAAAGAGTCACCACAACTTCCCCCACCATTTTCATTCTTGCATATTAAAAAAATAAATAGGCCACATCTTATTTTTTATAGTTGTGAGGGGGGTAGTAGCTATTTAGTTCTGGATTATGCAAACTGTATATATGTGATCAGTTTTGTAGTCATTATCAAGTATATCAGAGCAAGGTGAAGGAGAGAAAGGAGAGGGGACATTTGCTACACCCACTTCAGAAGGTCATTTGTAAGCCTTGCTTTCTCACTTAGCCTTTAGTGTTGAACTTTGCCAGAATAGCACAGTTAATGGAAAGAGCATTGGTTTTAAAGTCAGTCAGATCTGGATATGAGTAGTGGTGTCATCATTTACTAGCTGTGTGACCTTGGGCATATTATATAACTACACTGAGCCTGAATTTCTTGGTTTCTGATACTGTACACCCAATTCCTTTCTTGGCTGATCGACAGAAGTCCTTTAGGATCACCCGTTTAATGTTTGTTAACCCGTTCAAGGCAGTTGAGTAAATTCTGGCATAGAAGTGTTTGGCTTTTTCAGGGAGCAATGAGTTAGGTGTGGCTAGAACGAAAGGTGGAGAATGGGTTTTGTGGGAAGGAAGCAGGCA